CCTAAAAATAAATGGATAAATACATGGATGGCATACATAAATATATATACATACCCATATATAAATATATACATACATGCCTACATTCTCACCAGTGTCTCACCTTCCTGCCTCGGTGTCTCACCTTCCTTTCTTAAGACCTGCGCTGAACAACTGGCTCCAATCTTCACAAATATATTCAACAGATCACTGGAGTTGTGAAGTTCCTTCCTGCTTCAAACGCTCCACCATTATTCCATTCCCTCCATCACAGGTCTGAATGACTACAGGCCCGTCACCTTAACGTCTGTGGTCATGAAGTCCTTTGAACGGCTGGTCCTGACCCACCTGAAGGACATCACTGGTCATCTACTAGACCCCCTGCAGTTTGCCTACCGGGCAAATAGGTCAGTGGATGATGCAGTCAACATGGGACTGCATTTCATCCTGCAACATCTTGATCACCCGGGGTCTTATGCAAGAATCCTGTTTCTTGATTTCAGTTCGACGTTTAACACTATCGTCCCTGACATTCTTTCCACCAAACTCCCCCAACTCACTGTTTCTCCTGCCATGTGTCAGTTGATCACCAGCTTCCTGACAGGCAGGACGCAGCAGGTGCAGCTGGGGAAAATCATGTCCTCCTCACAGACCATCAGCGTTGGTGCCCCTCAGGGATGTGTGCTCTCTCCACTGCTCTTCTCTCTTTACACCAATGACTGTACCTCTAATGACCCGACTGTTAAACTCCTGAAGTTCACAGATCATTGGACTCATTAGTGTTGACAACGAGTCTGCATACCGACAGGAGGTGGAACGACTGATGTCCTGGTGCAGCCGGAACAACCTGGAGCTGAACACGCTCAAGACTGTAGAGATGAGAGTGGACTTCAGGAGACACCCCCCTGCAATGCTGCCCCTCACAATCTTCAACAGCCTCGTGTCTACGKTAGAGTCCTTCAGGTTCCTGGGAACCACCATCTCATATGACCTGAAGTGGGAGCCCAACATCTCCATCCTCAAAAAGGCCCAGCAGAGACTGTACTTCCTACGCCAGCTGAGGAAGTTGGACCTACCTCAGGAGCTGCTGACCCAGTTCTACACTTCAGTCATTGAGTCCATCCTGTGCACATCCAAAAGAGTCTGGTTTGGTTCAGCCACAATGCAGGACAGGAACAGGCTGCAGCGAACAGTGAGGACGGCTGAGAAAGTCATCGGGGCCTCATTGCCCTCCATTCAGGACTTGTATTGCACAAGAACCAGGATACGGGCTGAGAAAATCATCACAGACTCCACTCACCCGGGTCACAACGTTACAACTCCTCCCATCTGGCAGATGCTACAGAACTCTGTCCACTAAGACTGTCAGACACAAGACCAGTTTCTTCCCCCAGGCCATCACCATCATCAACAACTGATCATCAGACATCCATCAGCTTGATCATATACTCTATACTATAGAGAACTCTCTATCACTATTATTATACATTTCTGCATTAGTGAAACTTATGCAAAATAATCTACCTCTACTCTGCTGCTGTCGTATTTTTTTACTTAATGTTAACTGTAAAAACTGTTGTCATATACTGTAGTTTTTGGTAAAGTGAAGTACAATATGAATCTTTCTGTATATAGTGTAATGTGTGTGAATTATATGTTAAGTGTCTGTACAGTGTTGATAACAGTGAGTCACGAACTGCCGGAAACTAATTCCTTGTGTGTGTCAACATACTTGGCCAATAAACCTGATTCTGATTCTGATTCATACATACTGTAGATATATACACACAGACATACTGTATATACACACTCAGTGACCAGTCAGAACCCCCTGGATCAGAATACCTGTTTGTGAGCAGTTGTGAACATGCATGTATATACAAGATTTATCCAATGGAATATTTAATAGTGACTGTGGAGGATTGGAGACCCGACCCCCAAGACACGAGGCAGACATAGAGAAGACCAGAGCCCAAGGACCCGAGAGGGATCCCGAGTGCAGAGTCCCAAGGGGCACCCRCACGGGAAGATCTGCCCACCCATCCCCCAGATCAGATCATAAGGGAGAACTAGGACAGTCCCCCCAGTAACCACACGCACAGCCCCCGGGGCCAGCAGCGACAAACCCATGGGCCCCACCTGCACCCGCCACACCAGAGCAGATCCATGAAAGGGCACAGAGGTCCGGGCCCCCAGGGCACACCCACCCAGGCCAGAGCCCGACAGGGCCAGAGGCCCCAAGCCCCAGCAGGCAGTCACCAGGCCGGGCCGGCACACGCCCCAGYGCCCAGCCCCAGACCCCGAGAACCCCCAGTAAAGACTTGTTTTGACACAGAGGAAACTCAGCAGAGTCCTGTCCACACTTTTAGGAGATACTGACTAAAGTTATGTATTTTTTCCCCTCTTTTGTACAAGTAGCTACTGTACATTTTTTTGGCTAATCAAGCAGACAAGAACCCAACAAACAGATTTTGCTGCTCCCCCATGGCCACCCCAATAAAATATTTTGGCAGCACCACTGGGCAAGCCTCCTTAGGTGAAGAAATATCAAGCAACTATGAATGTTATCTTTAACTTCACTTGGTTCTTTGACTGTACAAGATTAAGCAAACTATGATCCATGTAATGTTCCTTTACATATATAATAAGTATGAATTTAGTTTGGTTTTAGTATTTTCCTGAGTAAATATAGAAAAAAGTAAACAAAATATGGGGAAACTATTGTGTTACCAGACTCTGTTCCCTCTTGACTAAAAAAAAAAAAGTATATAGAAACCAGGTTAAATGTCACCCACTCCAGCTTCAAAAACAAAGATGAGTAGCTGTAGCATTTGAAAAAAAAGGCAGAAAATTTTCTGATGCTATGGATAATCATGTGTTTCCCGTCTAAAGACACAAGGTTTTCTGCTTGTTGAAAGTTCAGAGGATTTTCTAAGCCCAGTGTTGAATTTGGTAATTTTATACAAATTCTGAGCTGAAGGTGGTGCTGCAGGACAAGATCTTCTACATTTTCTGAAGATTTACTTTTTTCTAAACAGCCACACGGGGGATGCCAGACATCCCATCACATCTTGCTGTACTGCAAACTGAAGTGCTGCATGTTCTTATGAAATGTACCTTGGTGTTTTTTCAGTCGTGCTGTGTAGTGATTGTCATTGTTGCTGTTGATAAGCAAACTAAATCTAAACTTCTGCAATTTAGCTTTGTCCCTGAATTCATTTGGATTGACAGAGATGTTTGTTTCTACAGAGACCAAAGATTGGTACCCGCATTATACTTATGATTTATGAGCCAAAACAACAGAGCGGCTCCATCCAACCCTGAGAGGAGATCCTGCACTGCGTTTTGCAGCCTTGGCAACAGGAGGGGTTATGTTAAGGTAAAATATTGCACAGGAAAAAAAAAAAAGAACACATACATGAAAGGATTGTATTTCATTTCAATATCCTGCATAAGAAAGTTTCAAAGATCTTTTGTGATCTGTTAGTGCTGTTAGGAGGTTGACTCTCAACCACAACTATGTGCCAAAGTTGACCTCATTATCTGTAAAAAAAAAAAAAAAAAAGTATTTGAGATGGCTACTTTTGAGTTTGCTGAGGTTGCTTAGCTGTGGCAGCCATCTTGAATCAGGTTGATCCCTAAAGTTAAATGGTTACAGACCCACAACCAATGGTTGCTTTGTGAGAGTTTCATCACAATCTCTCCAGTGCTGCATGAGATACTTTGACAGATAAACAATGACGCATGCAAATGCACACAGACAATGATATTATCATCTGCCTTTCATGAGGATAAAACATGGTGCACACATAGCATCTGTTGCACCTCGAGGTTTATGGCCACTTGGACATTTTTACTTAGGAAAAACCCAGCAGTAAAACCTTTTGCTTGATAAATTTGTGCAAATTAATAATAAAATACTAAATAAAAATGTAACCTTGCAGATAAAGAAATAAAAAATAGCATGCTTTTCTAATCTTTTGCCTATCAGTTGACAGTGAATATTGCAATAATCTTTAAATTGCATTAAAAAGTAGCCAAGATAAAATGCTCCTCATACTCTAAAATTCTAACAAATTTAGTATATTTATTTTAACTTCTGTAAAAATGCTACTAACAGCTGGGGTGCATCGATAAATAGGCTGGCTGATCGATTGACCTTGAGAAGCCAATCTTATCCACCGATCCTATTTACCAAAGGTCTGAAAATTAGCCACTGTCCCCTGTTGCTCTGCTGTAAACACTAATTAAAACAAGTTTGTATTGTCTCAAGAGCATTGTTCAGTGTTTTTCAATAAAATATGATCGGATCATTGATGTATTGTGACCTTATAACACCTGACAGTATCAATTATAAAMATTTAAAAAATCAGTATCAACCAAAATTATAATAGGCAGGTAAGTTTTTTTAAAGATCAATGATTGGCCAGAAAACTTCAAACAGTGCACCCCTACTAACAAACATAAACATAGACTCTGAAATGTAGTATTTTTAGAAAACAAAGCAAGAATTACAAAGATAAAGTGAAACTTTATTATTCTGAAAAAAATAACTTTTACAAAGCTGTATTTTTTTTTTCAAGACAGGACCCTCRGTATTTTCTGCTGTTGAGCAGACAGCATGCTACTAATTGGGTTTCAAATCAGTGCTGCGCACTCTGCTGGGCAAATGAGTTGCCCCCTCCCTTTAATCTTTGGGGGCAAATAAAAGCGAGGGTACCTGTTCCCCCGCCTCTGTCCCCGTCTTTTCTCATGTTAATGTGGGCGCGGCCCTCAATCCTGGGCACCATCTGCCCTTCCTCGGTGTTTGGGGCCCGAGCTCTCCAGACGTGTCCAATTGTTTGAGTGTGTTCAAGCAGAAAGTGGTGAGTACACACGGCCTTTTTGGGCCCAATAGGCTTGTCCGTCAAGAGCACGAGTCTGCTGTTCGTTATCCCCCATGTGAAAGAGGGAAGGGGGTTGCTGCTCGCGTGCCCTGTGTGCACTAACATCAGGGAGATCCACTGTTTGTTTTGTGTGTTAACGTTTCGTGTGGGACGTCATTAGGAGCKACTGTTAGCTGAGAGATCGTTTGACAGGTCAGCATTCTATTGGAAGTGTCCTTTTATAATCACTTTAGACCAGAAATATTGAGAGCGATTATCTATTAACTGGCCTTTTAAAGCTGAACTTAATACATAATTTATTTAGGTTTTCTCTTAATCTAATCACTGTGTGTGGTGGACAGATGGAGAAACAAATGAGAAAACTAATGATTTGAACTTCCCAAAGGTTTTATCAGCTTGAAGTAAACACACATACAATGTGTGCAACATTAGTAAAAAGCCAAAAGAATATAAATAATCCAAACAAAGTTTTTTATGAAGATGTACTTGCTGCTAGCTAACGCCTATCATGAAGTGTATTCACAAAAGGAAGTGCTTTGCTAAATAATCATTAAGTTAAGTCAAAACTAAATAGTTGAAAATTTACAGTAGAATGAATTTTATAGAAGCTTAAAAATTAAAATACATTATAATTTTCTAGGTTTTGTTAACATTTTCCCCCAAAATATGTTTTGTTTTACAATGTTGCCATTTTTTCCCCACCTAACAAGTTTCTAATCAGATAGTGGATGACTAGAATGTTAACAATTTACAAGGAAACTACGACACATTTTTAAAATATTGATCTAGTTCAAGAAGAGAAAAACAGTAAAAATATATTTCAGCTCATTAAATCATATTCATACTTTATTGAATTACAAAAAGCCATTGGTTTTACAGTGGTTTACAATTTCTCTGTCCACTTTCTTGATTTCAAATTCATTTTCTGCAATGCAGGGATCATAAGATCTTAATTAAGTGAAATATTGTTTTTTTTTTCAAGTTTATTACTAGTAGAGGTCATAACATTCAATATAGGACATCAAGACTTAGAGTTGAAAAACATGTTTAATTGAAAGCCCAAAATATACAAAGGAAATTGATCCAGTTTTCTGACTTGAATATTTAATAAAACTAGTATTGACTGGTTTGGGATTTGAGTTGGACCTGCTTGCTTTTCTGCAGTGTCCTTATATGACCTTTGTTGTGAAATGTCACAATTTAAACGAGAAGTGAAGTGAAACTGAAGGCAAAGCAGACATAAATTATACCATCACCCTTTCTGAATGTTTCCAAGCAAAGTGAAAAGTATTTTTAGTCAGTTAACCGGCCTGACTCTGACTAACACATTGAGTTTCCATCAAGCCTACCCTCTAAATTTTCAAAGCTACACACTGCTGGCTGGGTTGAGATTAGTTATTGAACTGTCCGAGCAGTGGGGAACAAGGCCGCCTCAGAGCCGCAGTACACAATGAGCCAGCTGTCAGTGGGCGGGGCTTGTCCAGACCAGTGTTGTCATGGTTAGTACTTTTTTGTTGGCCTTTGAGATCTGATAGGTGCTCCTATGTGAGGCTGCCACTCACTGATTATTATTGACACAAGGCGCTGTTTGATGACTAGCAAGTGTGCAGCATTAGAGTGCTCGAGGATTTGTTCAGCACAAAAAAGGCCAGTAGAGGTGAAGTGATTATGGATGCTCTGTGGTTTGTGAATATCTACGAGGAGGGAGAGAGCATAAAAAGGGTGTATTATTTTCCAATAATGTTGTTGTGAAGATATGAAAGGTTTGTTCAATAGTAGCAGATTTTGATGGTGCCACTTGTAGTGTTCCATCTGGTCTTTCTCTTAGTCTATATTTTTTGTTGCAGTCAATTATTCCTCACTAAAAACCTGTCTTTCTAAGCATGCAATAATCCCCAGAGGTCACTGATTTGCCTTCCAACACCTGTTTTACATTCAGAGGTGTGTCTCTGAGTATCTTCTTGGCAGCATCTGAGTTGATGTCCTTGCTGAGGGTTTTATTGCACTAATGTGTGATTTCCCACTCCTGTGTTAATGAAAAATGTACGTCGTTGTCCCGAACAAATCTTTGAAATATTATTAACCCAATCACTAACAATATCATCATTTGAGATGATTATACATTAATTATGATATGATAACCCTTCTTAAGTTAAGTACCCTGTTTTTATTCCACCAACATTACCCAGTTTTAAATTCATATCGTGCCGTGGCTTTCAGTAACATAATGTCAACATAATCATCTGGAGCTGCCTCTTTTTAAAGTCCAAGATAATGCAGGAAAGATTTATTTGCAGTGTATTCCACTGTCACACAAATAGTGATATAAATTCTTTAAATCTCCCTTAAGACCAGATTTATGAGACTATGTTACAACCCCTAAATTACAGTGTACTGAGACCTAAAATTAGCCCAGATATCAGCCAGACTGGATGACACTTTAGGAGAAGAGAGACAAAGAAGCAGTTATATTTTGTTTTTCTTACCATTATCTTCTATGTTGCCAAGTTTTAAATGTTATATTTATGTTCTTATAATTATATCTCCTAGATTGGATCACATAAGCATAAAATCTAGACTTTTATTTAAACACTTGTAGTAAAAACTAACAATGAAAAATATCTTTAATGATTTGTTTTTCTATTAAACTGTTAACGCACCACATGTCTTCGTTTACCATATTTACGTGGAAATAGCTTTTGTTAGTTGAACTTACTGTCATCTGGGAGAGGAGAATATAATGCAACACACCCATGCTCTTTGTCCTCACTGTGGGAAGCCACAGATTAGAAAAGTTAGGATGAATGAGTCACAGTTGATGCCAGTAACAAGCACTGATGTTTTAAAGCATCTTGGCATTAGCAGGCTGTAGCATGCAGTGAGCCCACACGTAAACTCATGGACAAACAGCCAAGGTGTTGGTTGAACGAACGTTAAGCACCGCTGTAATGTGGGATTATTCTGCTTGACTTTCACTGCGTGCATTAGCATTGTGCGTTCTTGATTCATAAGATAAAAATAATAATGAGCTGTTGTTGCAACCTGTCAATAGGTTACCCTCGTTCAGCAGGGTAGAGGCCTACTAACCTCATTTATGTTCCTTTGGGAGTAATTTCTGCCAGCAGCACATACTAAAATACATTTGTAAAAATATTATTTTTAGATAAACTTTTATAACGAATCAAGTGTTCTCTGAAGRGAGGCGTGTTGTCAGAGTTTTAAATAAAGGTCTTTCATCATGTATCGKTGGTTAGAGTATTCAGTATGTTGGGGATGACCCTCAGCTGATACCACATCAAGGTTTTCACTCAGTTTTTGTAAAACTGACTGAATGTACAGTAGATATTTTAGTATTTGCTGGAGTAGATTAGCTGTGGCAGCGATCAGGTATCAGGATGGCTAGAAAAGTTACTCAGTTGCAGATGTACTGGTGATTACTTTGTAAAGATTTTATTAAAATTGGTCTAGTGGTCTATRAGATATTTTGCTAACA